ACCTTTTGCCTTCAGTCCCTGGTCCCGCAGCACTTCCCCTACTAGTGACCTGAACTTGTTGAAATTTGCATTTTTGAAATCCAAGAATTCAACCCTGCTATCAGATTTGTGTGCCTTGTGATGGATAGTGAACGTGATGGTTTCATGGTCACTGTCGCTCAGGCTACCCTCTATATATAAGTCAGTTACCAGGTCATCTCCTTTGGCCAGGACCAAGTCTAGGAGAGCGTTACCTCTGGCTGGCCCGTGCACCTCCTGAGCCAGGAAGAGCTCTTCAAAGCAGGTCAGGAAGGAATGCGACCAGTCTGACTTGGCCAAGTGTTCCTCCCAATAGATGTCCAGATAATTGAAATCACGCATGACGACCATGTCCCACGCACATGCGGCCTCTATCAGTATTTGGGCAAACTCTAGATCAAGTTCCTCCCCCTGATTTGATGGCCTGTAGTAAACACCTACAGTTAGGTCTCTCTCTCCATGCCTCCCCCCATCCCAGCTTGAGCCAGAGGGTTTCAAGCATTCTTCTTTGGAGCTGATGTCAGCCTCCAAGGAGGTGTACTGCTCCTACACAGAGAGCTACACCTTCACCTTTCTTCCCTACCTGGTCCCTTCTATGCAGGGCATACCCTCTATGGCTACGCTCCAATCATGTGAGGAGTCCCACCAGGTCTCCATAATCCCTACTAAGTCATAATGCCTGCCAGAAAACAGGAGGGCTAGCTCCTTCTGCTTCTTCCCCATACTCCTGGCATTAGTGCACTGGCACCTGAGTCCTCCTATTGAGACCCTCGGCTTCCTGTCATGCTGAAGGAGAGCTATTCCCTCAGCTCCCACAAAAGTGGCTCTCCTAGTGTCCCTGTCTATGGAGCTTTCTTGTATGTTGGACCCAGGCAAGCTCCAGTCAGTGTTTCCCCATCCCCCAGCAATCTTAGTTTAAAGCTGTATCTAGAAGATCGACCATCCTAGCTGAGAACAAGGACTTGCCTACCTCTCCGCATGAGGTGGATGCTGTCCCTTCCCAGAAGTCCTCTGTCCCTGAAGTGCATGCTGTAGTTGAGGAAGCTGAAGACTTCTTGGTGACACCACCATCAGAGTTGTCAGTTGACTTCTTCAATGCATCCTTCCCTCTTAGGACTGTGGCCTGCAACAGGCACTAGAAGCACAGAGGACGACTACCTGGGGGCCCCCGATCCCTTGAGCCCTGCCCCCAGAGCCCTGTAGTCAACTCATGATCCAGTCTGGATTACTCTTGGCTGTGTCATTTGTTTTCACATAAATGAGGAGCATAGGGTAGTAGTCAGAGGGCCATACTAGCCTGGGGATCCTCTATGCAACATCTCGGATGCAGGCCCCAAGGAGGCAGCAGACCTCACAGGCTAGGGGTTCTAGACAGCAGAGGGGACCCTCAGTGCCCTACAGGAGGGAGTCCTCCTCCTCCACCACCACCTTGTCCTGTTGGAGGTAGCAGCACACTGTTTATCTTCCTCCTTCTCCGTTGTCACCATCAGAGCCTCCTCTTTTGTGTGACTTTCTCAAAAGCTTTCTAAAAACCTAGCTATAGTATAAAAGACAGATCAGCTGATCCACATGCTTCTTGACACTCTGAGAGAACTCTACTAGACTCGTGGGGCATGACCTCTTTTTCCAAAAGCCATGTTAACTCTTACCCAACAAGTTCTATATATTCATGTGACAATCTCACTTTAAGAAGTTAGGCTCATGGGTCTGTAGATCCCAGGATCCCCTCTGGAGTCCTTTTTAAAGAATGGTGTCACATTAGTACTCCAGTACAGAGGCAGTTTTTAGTGATAGATTGCATACTGAAGTCAATAGATCAGCAATTACAAGTCCAGGTTCTTCTGGAGCCTTTTTTTGAACACCACTGAGATCTGCTGACTTGCCACTGTTCAGTTAATACTTTTCTCCTCAATAATCTGTTGTACTGGACCTCATGTACCTACTTCATTTTGGGCCAGTTCTATTGATTTGCACCCAGGAAAGTGTAGTTCTGGGACAAGGATCTCCCTAACTTCTTCCATTGTGAAGACTAATGGAAAGGACTCATTTAGCTTCTCTGCAATGGCCTCATCCTCCTTGAGTGCTTTGCCCAATGGCTCCACTGAATCCCTAGAAGGCTTCAGGTAGGGGAACCTATTCCCTGGTTAGCTCCATGATCACAGAGCTAGTTGGGGAGTTTGTTTCCTGCTCAGCTCTGTGATCACGAAGCTGAGTAGGGAACAGGCTCCACAGCCTGTTCCCCACCTAGCTACATGATGATGGATCTGAGTGGGGAACAAACTCCACAGCCCCGGCCAGCAGGGAGCTCCCAGCACCAGCTCTGTAACTCTGAGGCCAGCTCTGGGAGATCCTTATCTCCCAGCACTAGCTCCATGACTCAGGGCCAGTGCCAGGAAATCTGAATCACAAAGCAGGAGCTCCCTGCTGCCGGGCAGGAGAACACTGCCCCACCCAGGTTCCTGTGGTGGAACCCAGCCCAGCAGCAGGCAGATCTAAGGGGCAGGGAGCAATCTCCCATCACCTGCTGCCTGGGAATACATTTGCCCCAGTCAGCTGTCTACACAAGTGCCACTGTGCAGTAAGTAATCAGAAGTAAATTTGCTACTTGTATTTCCAGGTAGCAAACTTACTAGCAATTAGAGCAAATTGCTGCACAGTAAGCATCTGCACATGTAGATGGTGACACTTACTGTGCAGTAATTATCTCTAATCTCAAGTAAAGCATCTTATGTAGACTGGGCCACTATCCCCTATCCTGACCAAATGGCTAACCCATAAATAAAACTCTTCTTCTTAAAACACCAGCCCTCATAAGTCATGAGGTCTGGTACCTTTGCACCCTGCAAGCAATTCACCATACAGTCCTCTCAAACATCACATACAAAATTATCTACATTCCTAATAATCAAATCTGCCACTACTAAAGCCTTCTTCTGCCTATAAACTAGAGGCCAGCCTCACATAGGAATCCCTTGGTGCAAGGGGATACAGGGACTTCAGCTAGAGCATTGGTCACCAACCAGTTGTTTGCAATCGACTGGTCAATCATAGAGCCTCTTGCAGTCAATCTGAGGCTAGGAGGGGCTAAGCACATGCACGCATGCATGCACAAGCTGTCCCGTCCCCGTCCTGCCCCCCCAGCCCAGGAGTTCAGTCTGTGGAGGCCAGACCGAGGGCCCACAGTGAGGGACAGAGGGAGGTGTCACAAACCAAATTAAGTAGTGCCCATGTCACAAACAAGTAAAACCATTCAAAACAGTTTTAGTCTGCACTAGGTTAACTAAGAGTTAACTAACAAAAAGATAGTAACAGTTTTTTGCTCCACATGTCAAAAAGAGATTTATAACTGCGACACTAACTAGAAATGAAACTTCTAAAGAAACGAAACTTAGCCCATGATTTATGATTGGTCAGGGCGAAAAGGGGTAGCCCTGCTACAAATCCCTAGAGATAATTGGCGATTTTAATTAAATTTATGATGTGGCGAAAAACAATTGGCTATCATACAAACAAAACCCTGCTGCATTTCCGCCAAAGTCGAAGACAACTTTGTCCGCACCTTGGAGTAAATCTGACAATTTGATCAGTTGTCAGCGTCTTCCCGCCACGACCTCCCTGGCGTACCCTTGACCCGCATGCCCGATAAGACCGCCGGCCCGTATATATGTCTGCAGACCGACCAAACGAACTCTAAGCTGTAACTAACTAAGTATATCTGACCTCCGTCTTTCACCACCTTGACGGCGTGAGTAAATAATCTTGCTTTGCAACCGATAAGCGTCCGCCTAATTAATTCCACTCCATGCGTCACAAGTACCCGCCTGACGGACCCTTAACTGCCCGGGTGGGAGTCAGGGAGAGCTGCTGGCCGGCTGCCCTGGGTCCCGACAGGAGGTACAGACAGAAGCAGGGGCTAAGGTGAGTGGGGGCCCGGCCAGGCTGGGTGGTGGGAGGATTGAGCCCAGGTGGCTCATCCAGTGTGCCTGGGATCTGCGTGCAGAGCAGGGGGCGCTGGGCCAGGACTGCATCAGGCTCTTCCCCGTGGTGGGGGTTGGGCCAGGCTGCAATTGGGGTGGGCAGCAGCACTGGGAGCAGCGCTATAGGGGGGCTGCAGCCACCCAAAAATTTCCATAGCCCAACTAACCCCCCTAGCACTGCTGCTGCCCACCCTGAGCACAGCCCACCAGGAAGAGCCCAGAGCAGCCCTGGCCCCAGCCCATAGTGACAGCAGGCCTCCCCTGCATGCAGATCCCAGGCGCATGGCCCCCATGCCCTCCCGGTGTGCATGCAGCAGCAGAAGCCACCCCCTTCTCTGTGCTGGGCACACCCCACACTCTGCCCCAGCTGTGCAGGGCCTGCCCCTGCCCCTGCCCCACTCTCTCCCTCACTGCCATGGGGGGTGGGGCAGATTGAGACTCTAGTGGTGAGGGAAGGAGTGGGGCACAGGCAGGAGCAGGGGCTGAGGTAAGTAGGGCCTCACTAGGCCTTCACGTGTCCCACCACCCAGCCCAGCCAGGGCCCCCCTCACCCCAGCCCCTGCTCCTGCTTGTGTCCCACTACCTCCCTCCCCCCTGGGGCCTTGATCTGCTCCCCACTCCATGGCCCTTTCCCCTCCCCCCACAGATTTACCTGCTGGAGGGAACCCCCAAGTATGATTTTTCTCTCTCGGCCTCAATTTGCCCCATCTTCCCTCCCCACAGACTGACCTTCTGGGGGGAGGGGAGAGGTGAGGTAGATCCTGGGGTGCTTTTTAATTCACAAAGTGACCTCCTACTTAAAAAGGCTGGAGACCACTATGCTACAGTGTGGGTCCCTGCTGTGAGATCTTTTCCCTCCTCTTTAGCTTGCTGCCCTCCTGTCCCACAACTTTCATCCTCCTTAGCAGCACTGGTATTGCCTGCATGCAGGTGGTGCTTATCGACAGATACTGTCCTCTTCAGGCCATGCACATCCTTGGATACTCTACCCCTGGCTGTGTCATAATCCTGCCTTACTTTTGCTCTTAAAATTGTAGCTGTTTTATCAAAGTAAAAATTACACTTAATCACATATATGAAAGTAGTAGGGTGGTTTAGGGCAATGGTCCAAAAATTATACCTTCTGATATTTCTTTATTCAGATACTGAAGTGTTTGAGGTGACTATAGTAAAATACTGTAGTATTTTATACAGAAGGGAGATAGTTATTTTGTATGTAAGAATGAACAATTTGTGACACTGACAGAACTTAGGGAAGCGATATCTACAAAGGCTGATAGCCTATCCTCAGTCCATCTTGTTTTGCCTAAGCACCGTAGCTCATAAGGTCCCAGACATGTCGTTGAATTCTGCAGTTCCCAGACACAGCAGAGTGAGTGAAGGAAGGTGAATCAGTCTCAGCTCTAATCTTCTTACTGATGTGGTTATATGATGTTCCTTACATGAAGGAAACAACAAAACAAAGGACAAGGAAAACATGACCTATATCTAATGTCCTGACCTAAGAGATTATAAATATTAGTTGAGATGCTCCTTACAAGTTGCTGCATTCTTTCAACGCATATTTTGAGACTAGATATGATATTATCACCACAGGTTGCATGGTAACTGTCCTATGATTATAGTGAAGAAATAACAATTTTGGAGAAATAACATTGTCCACGTTGTTTAGCAGGTAACCATGCCAGCCCCAAATGAATGTCGCCTTTGTTTTGAATCAGGACAGCATGGACATTTGTTAAATGTTATCCAGGGTAGTTTGATTGCTGACAAGTGCACAGTGAGTTTGGCAAGCAAGCTGTGGCATTAGCTGAAGCTCCCTTCAGTATTCAAACACAAACGTCTAGATTATTTATTATTAAAGACCCTGAATGCCCCAACCCATACCAAGTCTTTCATAATGCTTTATTTTTTTAGCCTTCAAAATTCTTAGGGCAACACAGTGGTTTACATTAGTACAAACCATTAGTTAAGGTCTTATAAGTAGTTAACTTACTCATGGACTTTTAATTAGCATTATCACACCTATTATTTTATCTTTATGCTAAGCGACACACACACGCATATAATTCTATCCAAATCTGGCTACATATAAAGACAATTCCTTATCTTTTTCAGGTTTAAAAAATTCAGTGAAATATTTAGTACCAGTGGAAGCTGTAACTGCATTTTGAACAATGAACCTAAGCGATGAGATTGGACACAAATGCTAAATGCTGCAGTATGCCCATCTCTGTTGGATGATGGGGCAGTAAATTTCATTAACATTAATGTGAGTGACACAGCCCTGTGTAACTGTATGAATGTTTTTTGTGAAGCAGGGGCGTTGTTGTATTCAAGGACATAAACACAACTGTAGGCTTGCAATGCCCACATGAGATCCATAATCCATCATTATGAGGATGATGCCTGTAATAAAAGTAAACAAGACATGTTTAGAAACTCATTTCCTTTTAGTAAATAAGCACATACTCACCATCACCCAAAGAGGAAAAACAGCTTGGACAGACCCTCAGCTGGTGTAAACTCCATTGATTCAGTGATGAGTAATGACAATTTACACCTGCTGAGAATTTATCCCAGAATGTTTTGCAGTTTGGAAGCAAAATTTGCCCTTTAATTATGTACCTCAATCTGATTCAATGACCCTTTCCTCAATATGAGCAGCCCAAGCAAATTCACTAAGGTCCTGCAGTATAATAACCACCATGTTAGAGGCCATTACTATGCGACTTCAAAAGTAAGATCAAATCTCAGTTTATCTGGGTCCTACCACACCCCCAGCGTTCACTGTATCTCAGAGTTGGTTTTCTGTTGGCAGTAGTCAATATTTACCATAATTGTACAGGGGTTAGTAGTTCTAATCCTCTAATAAATATTTATTGGGAGAACTACTAACATAACACTTTCTCAATAAATATTTACTAAAGATTTTCTGACAGGAAGCACACTGCCTTTTTCTTTCTTTAAAAAATACACTGAAACAAAAATCAACCAGGAACAGCAGCCTGAAACAAAAATTAACCAAACAGCTGGCAGAAAGGAATAGAAAAAAATTAAACACTGTGCCAACACGGGAAGTGCTACTCAGAGCTGAAGCCTTTTTCTCCAGAATATTGGCTGGTGGGCTGCAGAAATGAGTTCAAATGTAGCTGCAGAAGAAAGAAGGGTTACAAAGATTCTGGTGTCAAAAAAAGCTGCACTAAAACAAGTGGGGCCGCCCACATGGCTGCAGTCTGTGCCACCCAAAACCAGAGCCTGGGCAGCCAAAGCTACACTCCAGATGCTGGCCAGGCTCTGCATGCCTGGATCACCACTGCTGCAGTCTCAGGAGGCCCCCAGGCAAAGCTGCTGGGGCCAGCCCAGGTGCTGGCCCCAGCCTCCCCTACCCTATCCGAGGCAATTTGCCATGTGCCACAGCGTGCGTGCAGGGGCATGCCTGGAGACAATCTAGCAGTGGCAAAAGGAGCAAGTTACTCCCAGCCAGTTAAAATGGGAATGTTTTGTCATATTGGCAGGTCTCAGGTGGCAAGATTAATATCTCTGGATGGACAGTGGGTATACTAGTTCATATATCTTGCAAGACTGCTGGGCTCATATCTAGTGCTGACACTACATCTGGGAGCAGGGTATCAGCCATAGAGAGAGAGAGAGAGAGAGAGAGAGAGAGAGAGAGAGGACATTGTAGGATGCTGATCTGGAAATGAGGCATTTTACTTAGCTGCCTATATATGGGCATAAGGGCAAAATCCAGATTGACACTTTAGGTGCCTCCATTTTAGGCTTTGGCACACTTAAAAAGCAGGTCCCTGGTCTAGAAGGGTGAGTCAAAGAATGAGATCAATAACTGACTCTTGACACAGTCAAGTGGGAGAGTTAGGCACCTCCTAAGGACAGTTCAGAGAGCCCAGATGCTGAATAGGAAACCAGCAGTAGGTAAAGCTGAACCATGGTAGGCATCTGAACTCTTGCCCTCTCCAGAATTTAGGCACCTCTGTCCATTTGGGATCCAGAGAACCCAGGATGCTCTTCTAAGGGAGGACACCCCACAGAGTTAGTGGTACACCTCAATTTTTACATAATCATCTAATGGTCAAAACACTTACTTAGGAATTGCAGGCCTGATTCATTGCTAACCTGAGTTCACATCTGAAACCTACTTAACTCAGCATCTGTACCACCAGGGCTTCTCTCTCTAGCCTTGATCAGAAAAAAAATTCAAAATTAAGAGGTTTTAATGGTAGACTCCAGGTGAGACAAAGCTTTTATGTAGCAAACATTATTTCATACCAGTTTGCAGAAACTGCAGGAGCTCTTAGTACCTATAACTGCAAAATATCAAAAGCTGGTTTTGATGTGGGAACATGCTTGAACTATTGGACATTGTCTTGCACCAAAACATTCTCTACTGATTTGTTCTAACCCCCTCTCCGTCTCCCCCACCCCACTCCCATCACTACTAATTTTACTTGCCCAGAACTTCTCCAGCCACGACTTGACTGTCCTGCACCTGAGCAACCAGGTCCAGGAATCCCCTCATGTTTCACAGATGAGCTTCACTGAAGGATTACCATTATGACAGCATTCATTTCATTTAGAAGGCCTAAAAGGATCAGTTAAGGGCCACTAATCCTACCCGCATCCATGGAGTATATAAAGCAACGTACAGAGGGCCTTTGTTTCCTTGGCGAGTTTTTTGTATTTTCTCCAGTTCAGAGCCATAGCTGTTGATATTACCTTTCTTTTGCCTGCCAATTTTACCTGTACTTTTCACCTGTCAGCTGACAGCCATGTTCAAAATAACCACCCTAAGCTGCTTCCAACTACAGAGGCCTTTCTCCTCTGAGAGACAGCAACTTTCTCAGTGCTAATACTCTTTTAGAAGGACTAGAAATTTGTTACCAAAGTCTCCGGAAAAGCATTTTCTTCCCAACCCAAATCTAAATACAAAGCATATCCAAACAAGAAACTGAGACAAGTACTTTGCTTGCAGTGTGCATTGCCCTTCATTGAGTTATTTTCTATTGCTCAAGATGTGCTTCAGTAACCAAAACACACTGCTGCAGGGGAAGTCATTGCTTGACACCTTCCTTTTTACCTCTTCTTATAACTATTGTATGCAAAGATTTGTGAAGGCTCCAATTTCTCTGAAGATTTCTGCCAAAAACATTTTTACATGGAACATTTTTTCCTTATGTTTTTCTGAAAGAGTACAGTATGTGCTGTCTCTGCTTGAAATCCTAATTTGTATTTTCATCTAGACTAGGCCAGTGTTTATATACATATTATTTTTGCATTTATTACTTCATGGGCTATGGACCCTAGTCATGGATTAGTATGCATCGTGTTAGGTTCTGGACATAAATGACACATATGAAGCATCTCTGAGCCTAGTAGAATCGTTTTAAATTATTTGTCTTGCTATTGAATTAATCACAACAAATCACAGAACTGAAACTCCCAGTAAAATTATTATTTCTCACTGAGCTAGTTTGAACAGTACTTTATAGTACAAGGATTTTTGTAGGCAATACCTTTTCTTGAATCAACCGCATAGCTGGGATAGACTTAGACAAGCTTTCAATGCAGTGCATTCTTCTTCATGCCACCTGCCTTTGAAAGTCTGCATTTAAACCAATCTAAATTTGCTTTATAAATCAAATTACTCAGAAGTGGTAGTAGCAGCTAAGCTGCTGATTCTGCAAACATGTGAACTTGACTTAAAGCATGCTCATGACTGCTTAAGGTGGAACCTTAATTTGCTATTAAAAGGCTGCAACCAAAGTGAAATATCAAAATGAAATGTATTTAGCAGAAATCATCAAGAAAGTGCCAGTTGTTATTTTGCATTTTCTTTACTATTTGAATAACAAAAACCCCTCCTATTCTGTTTCTTTGAATTATCCGACTGCAGTCTCATTTCTTTTCTCCAAACCCCCCCTCCCCCAAAACCCTTCTATCTTACAGCACAGGCTGCTAAATTTGAAAGTATCCAGATATTTCAATGCAACTTAATCTGGCCTGGCCAATACATTTATTTGTTGCTTGCCTTTCTGACAAAGATAACTTTCTTTGATCTTTATGACTGTCACGGAAAAACTCAAGGACATAACTGGCTAGTACTGCGTCCTGGGCAGTGGCAGCAAAAAAAGGAGGTGACATCTGCCCCAGCAGCAGCAAACCACTAGCTGCTGCTCCTGCACTGCATGCTGCTACTGCATCTCTGCCCTCCCCACTGCCATAGCCAGAGCTCCTGCAGGAAAGGTGCAGGGTGTAGGGGGAAGCAAGGGAAGGGAAGGTGACGTACACCCCCACCCCTGTGCCATTCCAGTGCCCCCCACTATGGGCAGCACCTGGGGTTCATGTCCCACTCACCCACCCATCATTATGCTACTGAGCTCAGCGGCATACCTCCAACACCTTGTTGTTCCAGTGACACAGTTTTTCTAGCTCTCACATTTTCTCTAGGGCATTTATGTGGGTCATATCAACTAGTTGTTCAGTCCTCCCTCCTAATTTCTACTGCTTGACGCTCCCATTGTTTTTTTTTCCCAATCTGGATCTGAGGGTGCTCAGTTTTCTTTGTTCTATTCCTGCTTAGCCTCCTCTGTAACCAGCAGATCAGTGCTATTGTACCTAACATCACAGAGCCCTTCTCTTTGTTTTCTTCTAGCAGGCAGGAAACCTGACAAATGCACTTACCCAGAAGTCCCTCTGACTTGTCCAAAGCTCCTGGAAAATAAAAAGCTTCTCCTGATCTGCAAAAACTTCTTCTCATGAGCGTCTCAGACATCATTCTAGGTCAAAGAGTCTAGATAAACTTGGATAATCAGGCAATTTTTTATACTTCATCCTTTGAGATTCACCAAATGGTAGCAGCAACTCTATCAGTGTTAGCCTACATTTTAAACTATGAACAGTTCTATAACAGCTGATATTGAATTAAAAGAATATGTGCAAATAATAATATGCAAACTTAATCATTCATAATTTTAAAAAATTGGAAATATTAGCTAGAGATTCTATAATTTTAGCCAGATAATTTCTATAGTATCTCTGAAAGGGGAGCTTCTACAAATTATCAGCTCAAATTCAAATAAGTTATGGTCTGAACTTTCTGATGTTAAGCCATGGAAATCCTATATTTTATGTGGAACACCCATAAGCAATTCAAAAGAATGACTTGCTTTTAGGACTTGAAGAGTTTTGGTGCCACCTGGAGGCTGTTATTTGTATGGAAAGTTTGAAAATCATTATAATTTGCTGTCCCAGTGCTCACTGGTTCTCCCTTTCTATCCCTACATGCTGGTGGAGTTGAGAGAATGATCTGATTTGATCCACATTTATCAAAATGATTTGATCCATGTTTATCAAAATCCTTTTGTACTTGGCATTGCTATTGGTTACATTTTAGAGCTTGCGATGTGGGTTCTTGTGCACAGAATGGTCACAGCATCACATTTGTGCATTGCTAATTTGCTATGAAACCTCAAATCCAGATGTTGCCATGTCTAACCTTTCTGAATAGAATCCAAAACCTTGTTCTAGGCACTGGGGCTCTGTATATAGTACATGGGGAAAGTTAGGCACCTCAGGATAAATCCAAGTGAACCTGCACTTTGAGAAGGGGGCAGCTAGAGCTAGCCAATAGAAAAAGGGTATGTGTTTAGGCTTACCTACCTCTCACTGGAGCTTAGATGCCTGATTCAGGGCTACAGGGAGGTGCCTTCATCCATTTGGGGATCACAGCGTCAAATCCTGTTGTTCTTTTGATTTCGAATACAGCTGGAGGAGGAGGAGGAGGGAGGGGCTGTTGTTGGTTCTATTCTCTGCTCCAAGGACTATTTATGTATTTTCTCAGAGGACTATTTAAAGTAAAATTCATAAACAGTCCTTGGAGCAGAGAATGCAACCTCCCTCTCTCAGATGTGTGATATAACTATTTGGCTACAGAGTCATGTTCCTTCAAGTGCTCTTTCTCTCTGGCCCAACGAATCTTGGAACTCTTTGTTACCCAGCTTCAACAGGAAGGAAAGTCTCTACCACCTTCCGTATCAGCTAACAACCTCGTGGTTAGGGCACTTTCTGGAATTGTCTTGGGAGTGCATGAACTTGAATCCCTTCCAGCTGAGGAAGGCCTAGTACTCAGTAACCTTTCATGTCCTGGATGAGATCTGTCACTTCTACGCTATTATGGAAAAGTGGTCAGTAACACTAGCCCCACTGGTAATTTAACTGGAGGGGGGCAGCCAGGACACAAACCCCAGGTGCTGCCTTTGGGAGGAGGGCATGAAAATGACTGCTGCCACAGCTGGTAGTTGGCTGTGCCACAGCAATCCACACAGTAGCAGCTAGAGCTACCCTGTGCATTGCTGCTGTCCAGGGTGCACAGGCAGCCTGCTATGCCTCTGGCCCCAATACCAGCTATACTTTCAAAGAAAGTGTTCATAATTCCATTTTTTATAGACTCTGGTCCTGTGCTTGTGCTAGGCATTCTCAGAGAACTTCCACTGGACTGGGCTCCTCAGAGGCTGAGGCAGATGAATGCTTAGTTTATGAATCCTGATTGCGTAGATTCATTAAATAGATACCACGCTGTCCACACTGTAACAGTTCTGGGCATGCAGAATCAAGTGAAACAGGGACGTGCCACTGAGTTCACATGCCTCTAAGGGTGGTGGCAGCTGAGCAAGGAGGGTTCGCAATCTTTTATGTAGGTGTATTTTGCCCAAGACCTGCTTAAGGTACCTAAGCCCTTTGATAATTACCACAAAGTTATAATGCAATACAACTGAAACTGCTATTGAGTAAGGAGGATTACTTAATTCTTCAGTGAGAATCAAATACTAAAAGAGATAAGTGCCTTGTTATACTTTAATTTTAGGCAGCTCCTGGAGATTTTAACCCCTGGATTGTCCACACACCAAACACCTGAACCTAGTTTTAAGCACACTTTAGACAGCTTAAAGATATGCCACTCCAGAGCAGGTTTAGCTCTGATCCATGTTACCTACCTCATTCTCCATTAATGTGTGCCCCACCACACACAGAAGAGCTACCCAAGTTGCAACCCTCCAGCATCTCAGGATGCAATGTCTCCTCCCCACCCTCCTGTTCTGTGTGGACAAACTTTCCACCCCTTCAACTCTACTGCCCAAGGGGAGGTTCTGACATGTGCAGCAGAGCTTGCCCAGGTGATGCAGTCTGTGGCTGCCCCTGTGGTGCTCCACATGGGGCCGAGCCCTGCCCACGGCAGCCCACACCGTGCTCTCACCTGCATCTGCCAGGCTGCCCCTGGCCAGTGCTTACAGCTTACTGGTGGGGCTGCTACCAGTGCAGCTGCAGCCACCCAGGTACTGCTCAGCTCCCCTCGCCTCCAGCAGCAGCTCCTCCTCCTGCCCCTGCTGCACTGCTGCACTGCTCCAGTTGGGGAGAAAGCTTCAGCTAGGTGATTCCTGCCCGAGTGCATGGGGCTCTGGCTCCAGCTCCTGGTTGCCTTCCACCCATTCAATCACACACACCAGGCAGGCAGAGTGGGTGAAAGGGGCAGGGACCTCCAGGCTGAAGCTTCCCCCCAACCTGGAGTAGCACAGTAGGGAGAGCAGGAGGAGGAGGAGCTGCTGCCGGAGGCAAGGGGAGCTGAGCAGCACCCAGGTGGCTGCACCGGGAGCAGCCCAACAGGTAAACTGAGCATGCTGGCCTGGGCTCAGCCCCATGTGAAGCACTGTGAGGGCAGCCATGGGCAGGATTGTCAATTGGCGGGCACCTAGTCAATTGGTGGGCCAGATCCAGCCCACAGGCCATATTCTGCCAACCCCTGCACTAAAGTCATCTGAGCTAACCTAGCAGCAAATTATTGTAACTGCTCTTCAGATTCCTCACGGTGTGCCACACCCCACCTATCCAAACCTAGCCATCACTCCACCTCCCCCTTTCCTATTGTGCTTTGTATGAGCGAGGTGCTATTATGATTTGTGTTGTCTGTGAAGCACACCCTGACTATCAAGAAGCTTGCGCACGCTGTGGAAAATCTCCTGAATTTCCACACACTGCACACATCTCTTTGCAGAAGCCTACCAAAGTTTGGGCCTCTGTTTCAACATCAAGAAGATTTACGTGCTCTGTTAGCCTGCTCCAGGCCAGGAAGGTGATGCCCCTCCTGAAATTACCTTTGAGGGGAAGACCCTGGAGGTAGTCACCCACTTCACTTACCTCCATAGCCACCTCTCTCAGAGAGTGAACACCGATGAGGAGATCCAGCACAGGGTTCAGCGCACGTGCCTCCTTTGGAAAATTGCTTAAGCATGTTTTGTTGATCGTGAAACCAAGCAGAAAGACACCAAGATCCATGCGCACAACCTAGTCCTTATCCCCACTGTCCTCTACAGACATGAAACACGCTGATCCACTGTTGTCATCTCAAGACCCTGGAGAGGTGTCACTAGCAGTGACAACAATGCTCCTCTACTCCTTTTGCTCTGCATTAGATTAAACTATAATTCAAGCGATATTTAATTTAGAAAGATTTCAGATCCGTAATCCTTGATTTTATTTATTGTGCTGAGGTTAAAGCTAAGAGCATGTTTAACTACTTTCCCTAATTTACCACTGGATCTTGACAACATCCCTGCACCGCGGTACACCCGGAACTTCAGTCGCTGCGGAAGCAGCTCTGCTTAGTTCCTTCCGGTGAGCCGCTGCGGCCCCGTAAGGTTTGGTCTGGGCGCCGGCCCCGGCAGCGAGGCAAGGAGGGGTGGGGCTGCGCTGCGCACGCGCTGGGTCTCCTGTGCCCGCCCGGCGGGGGATGGC